TCCTGCCCGCAGCTGGACTGTGCTGCTTTCCCAGGGGCTAGCATGGGTCTCCAGTAGCCCTCAGGAGCCGTGGGTTCAGGGGAGGCTTCAGGAAACAGAGCCCATGACTGGCCTGGGCTCGGTGTTGGTCCCACTTAAGGTGCTCTGTCCTTGCTGCTGCCCCTTTAGCGGGGCTGATCCCCCCAGATGCCACCCTGTACTTCGACGTTGTCATGCTGGACATCTGGAATAAGAACGACAAGCTGCAGATCACCACCCTGTCCAAACCTGAGCGCTGCAACCGCACGGTGGAGAACTCGGACTTTGTGCGGTACCACTACAACGGCACACTGCTGGACGGGACCCCCTTTGACTCCAGGTATGGGCACTGGATGCACCCTGGCCCCAGGGCACCGGGCTGTGCAGCTGGGATGCACCCCCTGCCTTGACACTGGGCCACTGGGGGTGGCTGGGACCCAGGGGCACCAGCCTGGGCACACAGTTGGAGCAGCCTCATCCTGTACTGTCCTCACCAGCAGGGCTGGTGCAGCTCCATGACCCCCCAAACCAGCCTCTGGCACAGCATAGCTCTGGCTGGGGCTGCTGGTGTGGCCCCAGAGCCATCCCCACCCTCATTCTCCACCACCAGCTACAGCAAGGGCAGCACCTATGACACCTACGTGGGCACTGGGTGGCTGATCAAGGGCATGGACCAGGGGCTGCTGGGCATGTGCGCTGGGGAGAAGAGGAGCATCATCATCCCCCCGTTCCTGGCCTATGGGGAGAAGGGCTATGGTGAGCCAGGCACCACCCCGTGGTGCCAGCCCCTTCCCTCCTAGCTCTGACCAGAGCTCCCTGGTGTAGAAGGACCCTCCTTCAGGCTGACCCATGTCCTCTCCCAGGGACTGTGATCCCACCACAGGCGTCGCTGGTGTTCAGCGTGCTGTTGGTGGATTTCCACAATCCCAAGGACGGTGTGTTCCTGGAGCACCTGGAGGTGCCAGAGTCCTGCAAGCGCCGGGCTGTGACGGGGGACTTTGTGCGCTACCACTACAATGGGACACTCATGGACGGGACACTCTTTGACTCCAGGTGTGGGAGGAAGTGGTGCCATGGGGAGAGCCCCTGATGTCCTCTCCTGCCCCACAGCTGCAAGGAAAGGCTGGAGAGGAGACAATGGGCGTGAAATAGGCTAAAAAGGGCAATATCTGTTTGTTGTATTTCTTGGAGCAAGGCTGGGTTCCTGGGGGAGCAGGAGAGGCTGGGAGAAGGGATATGGGTTGGGGTGTAGGGACTGGGGGGATTGATGATGCTGAGGGCTCTCTTGCTGCAGTTACTCTCGCAATCAGACCTACAATACCTACATTGGGAAGGGCTACATCATCCCTGGCATGGATCAGGGGCTGCAGGGGGTCTGCATGGGAGAGCAGCGGCGAGTGGTCATCCCCCCACACCTGGCGTACGGGGAGAACGGTGCAGGTAAATGTGCAGAGGGCTCTGAGGGACGGGCACATGACGGGGTGTGGGAAGAAGCAGGGAAACTCTTCACCAGCCCTGCACTGCTCCAGCAGCTCTCCTCATCCCCCTCTTCCAGGAGATAAAATTCCCGGCTCAGCCGTGCTTATCTTTGATGTCCATGTCATCGACTTTCACAACCCTGAGGACCCGGTGGAGATTGAGACCGTGTTCCGGCCCGAGGGCTGCAATGTCACCACCCGCAACCGGGACTTTGTCCGCTACCACTACAACTGCTCCTTGCTGGATGGCACCCGGCTCTTCTCCTCGTGCGTGCCCCGAGCATTCCCATCCTACCTGGGGCCAAACCCTGGCTGGCACTGAGCTGGGGGTGGGCAGCACCGGGACCATCCACTCTGCAGTGCTGGAGCATCGGCCACAGGGCAGCAGGAGGGGGCAGCAGGCAGGAGGGTTCAAGGGACACGGTGGGATGGATGTGGCCGTGGCATGGAGGGTGTGGAACTTCATGGCATACCAGGATGCAGGATGTGGGATTCTGGGCCATGGTAGGATGGAGAGATTGGGATTTCAGGGCTGCCCGCTAGATCCAAAGGACTTTTCTCACCTGCACTGTTTCCTCTGTGCCTCCTGCAGCCACGACTACGAGAAGCCCCAGGAGGTAACTCTGGGGGCCAACAAGGTGATCGAGGGGCTGAACAGTGGCCTCCTGGACATGTGTGCAGGGGAGAGGCGGGTGCTCATCGTCCCCCCACACCTGGGCCACGGGGAGAACGGAGGTAGGGGAGCAGCAGCCGATGTGTGCAATGCACAGTGGGTGGTTCAGCCTTGCTGGGCCCCTGATGGGCCCCATCACCCCTCGCCCTGGCAGGGCTGTGGGGCTCAGGGCCAGGGCTTTGCCTTGCTCTCCGTGGTGCTGGAGCCTTTGCTGTGTTTCCAGCCCGGGGGGTGCCTGGCAGTGCCGTGCTCCGCTTCGAGGTGGAGCTGATCTCCATGGAGGAGGGGGTTCCCGAGGGCTACCTCTTCATCTGGCACGGGGAGCCACCAGCCAACCTGTACGAGCAGATGGACCTCAACAAGGACGGGGGGATCCCCGCTGACGAGGTGAGTGGGTCCCAAATGGTGGAGTGCAGGAGCAATGGGGGCACAGGGAACCCCACCCTGGGCCGCAGCACTTGAAGGGCACTGCTGCTCCTGGGCACTTGGGAGCCTGCAGAGCTGTGCAGGGAGAATACCCCAGCCAAAGCATTGCTGCTGGGTGTGGGCAGTGTCCCCAAGGGCAGCCTCTGCTCCAGTCCCTGCCTGTCCTTGGCATGGGCCGTGGTCTCCCTGCCCTGCTCGGTGCTGGCTATGCAGAGCTAAGCAGCATCTCTTCCCTCTCCCCTCTCCAGTTCTCCACCTTCATCAAGACCCAGGTGGCAGAGGGGAAAGGCCGCCTCATGCCCAGCTCTGACCCGGAGAAAGTCATTGCTGACATGTTCCGGAACCAGGACCGCAACCAGGATGGGAAGATCACACCCGAGGAGCTGAAGCTCAAGTCGGATGAGGACCAGGAGAAGATTCATGAGGAGCTCTGAGGAGCAGTCCCTGCTGTTCTGGAGACAGGACTCATCTTTGCCATGTCATGGCCGGTCTCCCACCCCGGGAATCTGCCCCTGCCCCTCCCCAGTCCTGCAGGGAGCTGGGTTTTGACTTTCACCTCTTATTAACTGAGGGTATTTTGATGAGTTCTCCTGAGCAGGAAAACTCAGCCCCCAGCTAATAAAACCAGACAAGAAGATGTCCCCTTCCTAAGCCCCTTCATCCTCCACCAGTGACTGCAGGGCCAGCTCCAGCCCCCTGACCTGTCTGTGCTGCCCCGGGGGGCAGGCAGGATGTAGGGGGGGTTCCCCTCACCTCCACCATAGCATTTTGTAGATTAGGGTTGGGGATTGGGTTTTTTTATATATACACTTAAAATTCTTTAGAGAGAAGAAAGAGAAGGCTTTTGTCCTGGTCCCTGCTCTGCCCCTGCTGCCATCCTCCCTGGAACACGAGGCTGAAGGGGGGCTCAGGTTACCAGGGTGAAACCCCAATACTTTTGCCATTCCAAAAGTCTGGGCCCCGTGGAACTGTGGGACCTGGCAAACCCCTCATCAGCTGGGAGAAGGGAAACAGACCCTCATCCCCCAGCCCTCAGGGAGCAGCACTGTCCCCCCTCTCCACCTCCCAGCCCCTAGTGACTGAGACACATCAGACCTATTTAGTTTCAATGCCTAAATGCAGGTCAGAGCCTTGGAGTGCTCAGGTCCTTCTGCTGTGACCAGCACAGCTCTGGCACCTGCCATCTCCCAAAACCTCTGCAGTTTCTCCTCAATGGAGTAGAAGAAACGCAGGAGCACAGCAGTGCAGAGTGAACCCCTCAAACAGGGACTCTGCCTCACACCAAATAAATAATTCCTCCAGGTTTCCAAGGAGTTTGACTGTGTTTGGTTATTTTGCCATGAAACATTCCCATGTGTTGGGGTAGCAGCACAGGGACCCACAGTGCCCAGGGGGATTTCAGGCTCCATCATCCACTTTGTCTGGCGGGAGAAACCAAAATTCCTGCCTGGGATCCTCCACCAAAGCCAACAGGGCTTCAGCTCCAGCACTCAGTGAGAGTGGGGGGCTCTGGTGGGATGGGGAGCTGGGGAGCAGAGGCAGCTGCCAGTGCCAGCCCAGGGAACAAAGCAGCTCCAGCCTCTCAGTGCTGGGTACAAACCACTCGTAACCCAGCTTTAGCCAATTATGGTTTTATTCCAAAGCAGAGAACAAATCTGCTCTTCCCAAAGTCCCACATAACCAGAGGTTATACAGCAATAAAATGGTCTTTTCCTATTGCTTCTCTGAGAGACCAGATCAGCCCAGAAATTTAGTACACAGACATGATCAGGTAAAACATTACTTAAAACACAAAATTCTGCCTTTGGCCTCTCCTCCCTCACCCCTCCTCCTCTGATCCCCGGCAGACAAACTTACTTCTGGCTTTGGGCAGCAGCAGGAGCCAAGCTCCAGGGCCTTCAGGGACGGCTGGAAAAAGGTTTTTTTCCACAGTAAGAGCTGTACTGGTGCAAGAGGGACAGGTGAGCTGAGACACGAGCCCAGAGAGCTGCTGGTTTACATGGGGAATGTGGGGCTGGGTGATGTGATGGCCAGCAGGGCCACACCAGCCCAGTGGCTACACTGGCACCAGAGTCAGCCTGGGAGCGTTGAAGCCCACAGGACACAGGACGAGAGAGAGATTTGTTTTCTTAGCCTGGAACACAGTGACACATCTAAACCAGGTCTGTCCTCAGCCCACAGTAAACTATCTCCATTCCACCCTCAGCTGCTGAAACAAGTGCAGAACATCTCTGTCTGAAACATGGAATGGTTTGTCGTAGCCTCAGGAGGTGGCAGGGGTGAATTCCCAGTGGAATGAAGTCTGAGCAGGATAGAGTCACTCTGGGTGAGAAACTGCAGAGCCAGGCAGAGTTGGGGAAGAGGGAAAGGAGAAGCTTCCTCCATCTCACCTCTCCTGCTCCAGGGCTGGCTGAGGGCATTAACGAGGTCAGGATGGAGCCCAGGCAGTGCCAGCAGGTCCCCTCCAGCTGTCTCAGGAAGGACATTCCCTGCCCAGTGCCTGCCGTGTGCTGGAGCTGGGACACCCTGTCCCCAGCTCATGTCTCAGTCACGATGTACCGCAGGATCCCGTTCACCACGTCCAGCGTCTCGTCGCTCTCCAGCACAATGTCATAGGAATCCAGGTACTTCCCCCTCCGCTCTTCCACCTGCCAGGACCGTGAACAACCAGCAGCTGAGGGTGAGGATGTGCCATTCACAGCCCTCACTACCCAAAAGGGGGTCAGTAACTACCCTGACCATTTCCCAGACACACCCAGGTCCCTCCGCACACCCCACGGGAGCTCGTACAAACCTCTTACGTGCCCAAATCACTGGGGCAGCCCCCTGCTCCTCCCTGCTGGCCCCAGGCCTGGCACCTGGGGAAGGCTGGTAGGAAAGCACTAAACTGCTCCTCTCACCCACCTTGTCATTGAGAAAGCCAATCTTGAGGATGTTCTCCACGCTGGGAACACCGTCTGCCATCGTCAGGTCACCCATGGAGTCCCCCAGCAGGATGATGCTCGTCCTTGTGCTCAGCTGCTGGAAGTACCCTGTGCCCTGCAGCACGCTGTTGTTCTTGTTGTAGGTGTGGATGAGGGGTCCCTTGAAGTGCGTGAGGACTCCCTGAGCACGTGGGACAGACAGGCAGACAGCTTTTAACCTGACGGTGTCTCTGTTAATCACATCCCAGCCCTCAGTCCCAGCCCCACTCTCCTCACACACTCAACACACAGATGCAATGCAAGAACTCACATCATCATCGAAGTCCATGTAGTTGGACACCACATTAACATTGGAGTAGAAGACGTTGGCCTGACGGATAATCTCTTCCAGGACATCACCAACACCAGCAGAGAAGATGAACAGGGGGATGTTGTTCTTATGCAGCTGATCAAAGAACTCCTTGAAGCCATCCCTAGAGCAGGAGTGTCCATTGCACAGGGCTGTGTTACCAGCTCCAGCACGCTCAGCCCAGCTCCCATTCCTGCCCACCACTTCCCAAACACAAACACACACGTGAGCTCTGCCAACAGCATGAGCTCTCTGTGGCACCAGCACCCCCATGGCCTTCCCTGTGCAGAACCCCAGAGTTTTGGGTGCAGCAGCTGGGCAGGTGCTTGTGGGAACATGGAGCACTCCAGCCTTTTGCCTGGCATCTCCTGAGCACATCAGCTGCTCAGCAGGGGCGCAGGGCACAGCCTGCCTGCACACAGCCACGGTGGGCACTGCCAGGAACCACATGGGAGATGTGCAACAGGTTGGACTGGTTGGGAGGATGATCAGAACAACCTGTGACAGCCCCAGTCTGCCAGGACACAATTCCATGTGCAAGTGCAACCTGGGCTCATGAAAACCCATCTCCTTCCTGAGCCTGGCAGCAACCTGGCAGAGCCCAGCTCCCCAGGCCAGCCTTAGGGTCACAGGTGCCAGGTCAGCTTTAGCAGCAAGTTCTAGCACAACATTTTTGTGCTGTGGGTGAAATCTGCTGCTGAGCCAAGAGCTTGCATAAGGCTTGGCAGTTTCAGTGCAAAGAACACAGCTCTGTTGCAAGCAGAGACCTGCATGCAGCCCCTACATCCTGCCCTGTAAATGGAGAGCTGTGCCCAGCACCAGCCCCTCAGCTGCTCCTTGTCAAGGCCCAAGAGAGGGGCAGTGATTTCAGAGCAGGAAGGGAGCAGCCTGCAGCCAAGGAGTGAGCTCAGGCTGTGGCTCATGTTCTGACTTCTTTAGAATTCAGCCCCAGAGAGTGAGCAAGGGAGGCTGGCACTGGTCATGCTGTGGTGACAGCACAGAGACCTGGGCAGGAGAGAAGAGCTGTGAGCAGCCAAGCTGTACCTCAGCATCACATCCCCAGGCCTGTGCCTCAGCATCACATCCCCGTGCCCAAACCTCAACACCACATCCTGTGCCCGTACCTGAGCATTGCTTCTGACTCTCTGACGATCTGGGCTATGTCATCTTTGTGGATCTTCTGCTGCACCAGCAGCTCATGAGCCTTGGTCCACCTATATTTGATGTGGGAAAGGCAGCAGTGACAGAGCTCCCAGGCAGAGGCCCTCAGCAACAACAACTAAACCTTGTGGGATCGTTGCCAAGCCCAGGGATGATTCAAGCCTCATGTCCTGTAGTCCTCAGGGACAAGAGTTTGTCAGGACAAGGTCAAAATCACCACAAACAGCACTCACCACTCCACCATGAGGGGACGTTTCTCTTCCAGGGTCTGGTTAGGATCTATTTCAATGGGATAGTAATAGTGGAACAGATCCTTCAGCTGGAGTGTCACACAGAGAGAAAAAGAACAAAGCGAACATCAGGTCTAAAGAGACTAAACAAAACCAGCATTTCTGAAGTTCTCCACAGCATTGCTCTTCCTAAACACAACCAGAACCTGTCACTGAGCAGCTTCCCTCTGAGCATGCCTGGAACTCTCAGCAGCCTGGTTGACCCTCACCTCACTCCAAATGCTGCAGGTACAGACGGCCCTTCCCTTCCTCCTCTTATCAAACTGAAACACCCACAGCTGCACATGCAAATTCGAGTTCCCTTTTTAACGTCTCCTTTGTCTCTGCTGGCTGAAATGCAGCCTGGACATTTCCTCACTCCATCCTGGTGGCCACCACAGCTGGGAGAGCTGCCACACCAGCCAGTGTGACCTCCTGACAGGTGATAGGTACAGCAGTCACCGAGCCAAGACGTGGTGCCTCACACACAGCACCCACCTTCTTCTTGCCATCCTCGCTGATAACACGGCTGGTATCAAGGATATCTGAAAAGCAAATAATACACTAATGATGCAGCACAGAATCATAAATGGACTTTGTACAGCAACTCCCCTGTGTCTCAGTGCTGGCTCTTCCCAATACAAGCTGCGGTGACACGGTGACCCAAGCACAGGCTCGCTATGGGGGCCCAATGCAGTGGCTCCCACTCTGAGCCCGCAGCAGGCCCTGATGGCAAGGCCTGGCTTGGCCAGACAGCAGCCTCGGTGCCCGTGGGCAGGGGATGAAGGCAGCCAGCCCAGGAGCTGGCTCCTGGCTCCTGCAGTGGGCAGTGGGCAGCTGGCACCAGGCTGTGAGACCCAGACCTGCGTGGGGGAGGGCAGGACGGAGCGGCCAGGCTTGGCAGAGGAGGGCACAGAGGATGACAGGAACCACATCAAATACAAACATAGAAACCAAACAGAACTAGCAACAGTAAAAACAACGCCTTGCACTCACTGTGAGATGTGGGGCAGCGCCTGCCATTGCAACCAAACCTGCTCAGGGTCATGTCAAAGTCAGAAATGACCTGGAAGAGGGGAGAAAACCAAATTCTTGTGTGACCCAGTGCATTCTGCACTGGCCAGAGTCCAAAGTGCTGCGACCTGTGAGAACCTGCACCCAGCACCACTAGTCTCCCGAGAGTACAGACTGGCAGCGACGACGTGGCCGCTCCTACCAGCAGCGAGGCAGACGATGTCCTCACCCTCCCACCACGGAGCTCTTATCGGCACCGAATGGCTTCACCCTGCTGGGCGGAGCAGGGGCTTGGGGACCGGCGCACAGTTAAAGCTTCATAACTGGGAGCCAAAAGGTCCGTCCGGGGGGAGCCACCAGCCCCGTACTCCCTCTCCTTTGGGGCATCTCCAGCTGCACCCCTCACCGCAGGTGCTCCCTCGCAGGGCTGGGAGAAGTCGGGCCGGGACCGGGGGATGAGGAAGGGACGAAGGACAGAGCACGGGCGATGCCCCGGGCGGTTCTTCCCCCGCGGTACCGGTACCTGCAGTTTGGCCACCCCCTGCTCCCGGAGAGACCGGATGATCTCCCGCACACGCTCGGGCTGCCGGATCCGGACCGTAGCTTTCTCCAGCTCGGGCACCTGTAGGCAGAAACCCCGCTCGGTGCCGCCCGCAAAGCTCCGGGGGGACCGAGACCCTCCAGCCCCCTCTGTCCGTCCGTGCTGGCCGCGCTGCCGGCCCGCAGCCCCGCTCACCATCTCGCCCGCTCCGCTGGCCCGGCCGCGCAGCCGTGGGGCGGGACCGGAACAGGGCCGGGCCGGGCTCGGGAGGGGGCCGGGCCGAGATCGAGGGGATGGCGGGGCTGGGGGGCCGGGATCGGGGCTCGGGGGTTCGGGCTGGGCTCGGAGGGGCCGGACTGGGCTCGAGAGGGCCAGGATCTGGGGGTTAGGCCGGGATCGGAGGGGCCGGGCCGGGATCGGGGAGCCTGGCTGGGTTGTGGGGAGCCGGGCCGGGATGGGGGACACCGCGGGGCTCGGGGGGGCTGGGCCGGGATCGGGGGCCGGGCCGGGATCGGGGGCCGGGCCGGGATGAGGGGGCCGGGCCGGGATCGGGGGGCCGGGCCGGGATCGGGGATCCGGGCCGGGTTGTGGAGGGCCGGGCCGGGATCGGGGGCCGGGCCGGGATCGGGGGCCGGGCCGGGATTTGGGGCCGGGCCGGGATCAGGGTGGGCCGGGCCGGGATCAGGGTGGGCCGGGCCGGGATCGGGGAGCGTTCCGTGGTTGCTGGGGCCGGAGAATCCTCCCTCGCTCCTCCCCAGCTCTGACCAGCGATTGCGTTTCACTTGCGACGAGCCGGGAAGGCGAAAGATATATTAAAAAAAAAAAAAAAAAGCGTCGCCGGCCGGGCCGTTTGTGTCCGCAGGGCTCCCGGCACTGAACCGCTCCGCAGCCCCGGGGACACTGAGAACATCGAGCCACGGAACACCGGCGGGGGGAGAAACCTTCAAAGAACTATCCCCCAGCATTGCCAAGGCCACCACTATCCGATGTCCCTAAGTGCCACATCCACAAGACTTTTAAACCCCTCCAGGGATGAGGATCCGCCAGTACTGCCCTCGGCAGCCTGTGCCAGGGCTAGACAGCCCATTCGGGGGAAAAAAATTCCAACATTTCCAATATACAATTTAAACATCCCCTAGCATAAGGTCAGTGACAAAGCAGCAAGGACAGTGTGTGTGACAGTACTGACATGTGTACCTCAGCTTCCTCCAGAGCGAGGTGGCACAAGACACTTCAGCAGTGGTTCATGCCTACATTTGGGGGCTCTTACACCCCAGTGAAATATTACTGGAGGGTTGCCAGGGGATTGATCACATGGCTGGTTTTGCTCCAAGCAACATCAACAAGGTGCAGGTCTGTGACACAGCATTACCTGGACTGTAGGGAAGCAAAGGCTGGGGGCAACCACAGAATGCTGGGCCTGGGTCACCCCTGCATCTGTGATGTCATTATGGGGCACAATCCAAGAACCAGCAAGGGGGTTCAGTGCTGGATGTTTGGGGACAACACCAGAGTGCTCTACACACCTCAGCAAGGTCCACTGCCTCTGGCTTCAACGTGCAGGATAGCTTGGCACCTACCAGAATTCATCCTCCAACATGGAGAGGAAGATGAGCAATAGGAGTTGCAGCATCTCCAATGAACTCCGCTTGGAAGGGAGATTCTGTGATGTGATCATCAGTGTAGACGGGGTGGAATTCAAAGCTCACAAGCTCATCCTCTCTTGCTGCAGTATCTACTTCAGGTCAGTAGCTGAAACACAAGAGGATGGGGACAAACAGTATTCCCTGATTGAGGTCACCCTGCCTCAGCACTTCTCCAGCACTTCTACCTGCACTGAACCTCTCACCAAGTGATTTTCCATAGTCTTCACACCTCCCTGAACACCAGGAGTAATCCCCGCATACGAGTAGCTCTTGGCAGTGGTGTCAAAGAAGCCCCAGACACAGCGCAGGCCTGGAGCCTGGCCAGCCTAACCCAGTTGCCATGGGGCAGCTTTGCCTTCCCCACACCCTGACTCTCTGGGGTTCAAGACCAAGTGTTGGTCCTGCACCTGGGTTGAGGCAGCCACACCCCAGTATCAATCCGTGCTGGAGGACGAATGGATTGAGAGCAGTCCTGGGGAGAGGGACTCGGTGTGCTGGTGGGTGAGAGGCTGAACATGCCCTGGCTGTGTGCACTGGCTCCCAGAAACCCCCCTATTGTCCTGGGCTCATCTCCACAGCGTGGGCAGCAGGCAATGGGGGGGATCCTGCTCCTTTGCTCCTCTCAGGTGAAACCCCCTCCCTGCCCTGCTGCCTCCAGCTCTGGTATGCTCCAGAGGCTCTCTCCTTTTCAAACAACCAGCAAGTAAAACATTAATCAATAAGCCATGGGGCCTCCCAGAATGGCTCCTACCAAGGCCAAAACTGGTGCCCTGGAGGCAGGGAAGCACAGGACATCCAGGGGCAGGGTTTAACTCAGCAACACCATGTTTTCAGGATTCTATTTACCAACTGGGACAGCGCAGACAAGATGGTCTATCAAATCCCTGGCATTTCAGCTGAAATGATGGGTCTCATCATCAACTACGCCTACACTGGGACAGTACCAATCACAGAGGACAACGTTGAGAGTTTGCTGGCTGCAGCAGATCAGTTCAATGTCATGGGCATCGTCAGCCTGTGCTGTGAGTTCCTCAGTTCCAGGCTGTGCTTTGAGAATTGCATTGGCATTTGCAGACTCACTGACTATTACCACTGCCCCGACCTGCGCGCAGCTGCCTGCGTGTACATCCTGCATCACTTCGAGGAGGTGTCCCAGGTGTCTGAGGAGTTCCTAGACCTCTCTGCCGAGGAGCTGGCACACATTATTGAGAAGGATGAGCTTAATGTGCGGCGAGAAGAAGCCGTGTTTGAGGCTGTGCTGAGGTGGATCACTCATGACCCGCAGAACAGGAGGCAGCACATCGCCTGCTTGCTCAGCAAGGTGGGTGCAGTGCAGCTTTGGAGCTGTCCCCAAAGGCTACTGAGGGGGAAGCCATCAGTATTAGTACTCCAACCTCCTCCCTGCATGTTTCAGGTTCGATTGGCACTCCTACAATCCGACTACTTCATGAACAACGTCAAAGCTCACGAGTATGTGAAGGAAAATGCCAACTGCAAAGATCTCATCATCAGTGCCCTGTCTGAAATCTACGACCTGAACTCCTACGGCCAGAGTTCCTCAGTCAATGCCAACCCACTCACCCGGCCACGCCTGCCCTACGCCATCCTCTTTGCCATCGGGGGCTGGAGCGGAGGCGGCGCGACCAGCGCCATCGAGACCTACGACGGCCGCACTGACAAGTGGCTGAACATCCCCTGGGAGCAAGAGAGCCCCGTTGCCTATCACGGCTCAGCTTATTTGAAAGGCCACGTCTATGTAATCGGTGGATTCGATGGCACAGATTATTTCAACATTGTCAAACGGTTCGATCCGCTCCAGAAGACCTGGCAGCAGGTAGCACCCATGCACTCACGGCGCTGCTACGTCAGCGTCACCGTTGTGGACAACTTCATCTATGCCATGGGAGGGTTTGATGGGTACATGCGGCTCAACACGGCAGAGCGGTATGACCCAGACACCAACCAGTGGACCCTGATCACCCCCATGCACGAGCAGAGGAGCGACGCCAGTGCAACCACGCTGAATGGAAAGGTAAATTAACCCCAGCTAAGAGCAGCTGGGGTTGCAGCATGAAGTTCACATAAACCTTTGCTAAATTTGTAACACTTAAATTCATAACAATTCATTAAATCCTGGAGTGACAGATATAAAGCAGCCTGCCTGGTGTGCCAGAGATGCGACCAGGAGTACAAAAACTCTTCCACAGCTGCTGCCCACCTGGTGCCCAACAGCCCTTTTCCTGGCCATAGATGCAATATCAGGCCTGTGTGCTTCATGCAGCTTGGAAAATTGAGTTGAAATCTTGTTGGCATCAACTCTTTGCACTGCTGCTACAAGACCATTCCCATTCTAAAACAAAACACCTCAAAAATCCTGCTACACCATTCATTTTCTCTTCAACATGTTTCCTCACCAAGGGTCTAACCACCCCATTCACAGTCTCCCACCTCTCCTGTCCCCAGGTGTACATCTGTGGTGGGTTTGATGGTGATCAGTGCCTCAGCTCAGCTGAAACATTTGACCCCACCACAAACCAGTGGTCCCTGATCGCCCCAATGAGCAGCAGGAGAAGCGGAGTTGGGGTGATGGCATATGGGAACCACGTGTACGCGGTAAGGGCTAACACCACCCTGCACTGCAGCCCTTTGGCTGGCTGCAGCTCCCAGACCTCCAGGGTGGCCAAGTGTTTACAGGAGGTTTAGGGAAGTCAGAGCCAGAATGGTTGATGCACTTCCCAGGAATATTATCACACATCACATGCTTTTGAGTAGGAAAATGGTGTTTGGCAGTGTTTAAGCAGCTGCAGCAAAGAACACAATTTCTGCCACTGCCAACAGCATCAGCAGTACACAGCAGGGGCTTGGGCCTGTTCATCCATTGTTCATCCTCTCCACAGACTGCATCCAACCTCTGGAGAACTGTCAAAATTGACAGTTGTATGAAGTGCTTTGGAAAGCTCCTCAGAGAGCAGGGAGCAGTAAGCAAGAGCCATATTTAGAGATCTCATGCTCTCTGCCATGCTGACTGCAGCCAGGGAGACTGAAGCAGTTCCCATCTCACTGTGAGTGCCAGGATCTGGCTGAGGAAAGGCCCCTTTCAAGCTGTGTCCCTTTGTCATTCACAGGTTGGAGGGTTTGACGGGAACAGCCGGCTCCAGAGCGTGGAAGCATACAACCCTATCACCAACGCCTGGCACGCCGTGCCCTCCATGCTAAATCCACGCAGCAACTTTGGCATTGAGGTGATGGACGGCCTGTTGTTCGTGGTTGGGGGCTTTAATGGGTTCAGCACCACCGTTGCCACTGAGTGCTACGAGGAGGACACCAACGAGTGGTACGACGCCCACAGCATGGGCATCACCCGCAGTGCCGTCAGCTGCTGCGTGGTGCCAGGGCTCTCCAACGTCATGGAATACATCGCCAGGCAACACTACT